GCTAAGCACAGTTGCAGATTTCTTGGGAGGGCCACTCTCCTTGAGCCACATGGCTCAATTTTACAATGTCCTCAAAGCAGTTTAGCAAGCCCCATCAGCAGGATGTTCTGCTCTCCATCACTGCCGTGAGGGCTAGGAGCTGGCAGGGTGCACAAGGAATGGAGAATGTTAAGAAACAGACGTTTCAACAAAACACCAGGGCTTACTAAGCTTCCGGAAAAAAATATTCAAGGTCTGAACTAGGGCCTGCCAATCAGACAGTTTTGGCTTAGAGGGAAGAATAACAAATATCCACAGATTTTGTCTCTAGTACATTTAGGTAATCAGTGTCTAAAGCATCTACTGTGCTAGTAGTGGATGCCTAGGAGTGCTCTGCAGGTTAGTATGTGTTTTTTGTTTCCTTGTTTTCTGTATAAACTGCAGGCAATATGGGTTTTGACTAGCATGTATCAAAACCATTTAAATGTTTTTTTGTCAGCTGGAGAGCTGGAAATTTGCAACAGAAAATGGTAATTCAAGAGGACTGAAACTATTTATATGAGAGAGGTTAGATTTGCATAAAAACTTTCTTTGTGAATGTTCTTCTTTACCAGAGTGATATTTTTCATCACAGATAAAGCTCTTTAGAAGAGTCAATACTCTAGAAACAACAGGCAGACTCAGGAGATGAGAAGATCTCCGACAGAAGTATAGCAGACACACAAATGCAAGTGTAGTGCCACCATAGGTGGCATTTGAAATCTTTAAAATGAACATGCTGCTTTTTTTTCTTATCCAGTTGAATCATATACTTTTATGCACATACTGAGCAATGACCTTAAAGACAAAAAAAGAAAACAAAACACTATACAGGGCTCATTCCCATTGAGCAGCGGATACCAGAACACTACAAATACATGTTCTAGAAATAACTCTTTCAAAGACAGTCCAAAAAATTTTGATCATACTAAAATAGGTACCTGTAGAAGAGTGCCAGGTGAATACTCCTCTTCTTCAAGGACAAGTTTAGATCCATACCAAAAAGCTAATGCATAACACAGGAAAATTACAAGCCACATGTAACCAGTGAATAATCCCATTATTATCCCTTTTCGAATTCCCCAGTGCTGAGCAAATACCAGGTTCTTATCGTATCTGTAGAAAAAGCGAAAAATAAAAGTGGATGAAAATAATTTGACACAAAAATCGTATAAACAGAGACCAAAATGAGATTGACCACGCTGCAGTGAATTGATGGTCAGTCCACATGAGGTCTACTTCATTTTATGTCCTACTATAATAAGCACAAGGAATACTATCCTTGCTACAGAAATCTGAATAAGGGACTGGGAACCTTAGTGGTGTGGCACAAGATCTGGCAATTCGGTTAAAGCCTCAGAGAAGGTCCTACAACCATCCTATGATTTAAATAAATGTAAGCTATTTATTTATTTACTTATTTTCTTTGAAGTACTTCTAATGCTCATTTATGATTACTAAGTCCTGCTACTTAAACTAGTGGCAATTTATGTACAAAAACAAACTAAAAGGAAACTTTGCTTTCCCAATCCAATCAGTTTACTTCCTTTACCCTCTTTTTTACATCATGCAAATATTCCTATTTAAGACAAAATTCCAGAGTGGGCACAATAAATGGAGGTAGTCAGAAGACCTATGAGACTCTGGAACTAGTTCTTACTTAGCTTGAAATTACCCAGACTTTTCAGATGTGCTGCAAAAGTGATTTGTGAGAAAGTGGTTAAAGGAAAGTTAAACAATATGTTCCTATAAAGATGAATGTTTTGGAGATAGTATTTATGATGTTTTAATAGAGAGATTGACAGAGTTCCATAACTGTTTTTGCATATTTAATGTTATAGGAAAACTAAGTTTTTGTGGTAAATATGTATACTCAAAATACTCAAAGCTGAAGGACGGTCAGCCTTTCAGAACTAAGTCACTCCTTCAGAGACACTAATTGTCAGGATACTGAAGCATATGACAGCATTAAGGCGCTACATAAGAAAGAAACTAGAGACTTTTAAAAATTTCTTTGAACAAACCTTTCAACTTCTTTCTTTTCCCCGCCGAAAGCAGCCACTGTTCTGATGGATGAGAGTACTTCATCAGCCACAGCCCCAGCTTTTGCATAAGCCTTTAATTCTCGGCCTGTCAGTTTTGCCACAGCCTACAAAACCATAAGAATTGTTGGTTACACCTATAGGTGTAGAGAAGGATGGTGGTCAGCACTACTGACTGTCACCCAGTGCAACCTCCTCTGCAGGAGTTCACCCCCCTTCTCTGAGGGGCTTTCATTATGCACCCTGCCTCTCAGCAACTTCAGGTGGAGGGCACTGCCTTTCAGGGTGAAGGGCAGGTTCAGCAGCTTAAGCCCTTGGCCACTGCGGCAGGGCCCAGGTGTAAGAGGGACTTCCCTCTTCTGGCAGAAGAGAAATGCAACTGAGGAAGGGGGAACATGTTGCCCACCACCAGGCCATGCTGCCTGGGCTAGCAGCAAACACCTCTCTCCCCAGTGTTCCACAGCGTACTCTGGAATCCAGAGCTACTAGTGGTCAAAGCTGCTCAGATTCATAGAAAGAAAAGCCAGTATTCCACTGGACTTCAGGAATGACATGTCACTGGAAGTTGTAAAGCATCATTTTGATTTCCCTCTTCAAATACTCTACCCCATGCATCTATCAGCCACTTTTGGAGACAGGAAACCAGGCCAGGTTGACCCAGCGTTTAACTTCTTTATGGGAGAAAACAAAGACCTCATCTGGAAAGGCTCAGCAGGAGGAAATACCAAGCAGCATGTATTTGAAAGGAAAGAGTTGGGGATAGAGAAATAAGCACGGAAAAGAAAAAATTATAAAGGAGAATGAGCTCAGAGAGGTAGGGTTTTATTTCATTCCCAGCAGAATGCTGCTCTCCCACTCATATCATATCATATCATATCATATCATATCATTCATATCATCTACTTGCAGTCACAGCACAAGCAATGAAAAATAAGCAGGAAGAAGATAAATTTCCAGAATTACATATAGGTTTGATTGCAAAAGGATAAGAAACTCTTCCTAGAATGGAAGAAGGGAAATAGCAACAGGGCTGAATCTCAGTGAGGAATACAGGAGATTGAAAGGAAGGAACAAAAATTGCCCAGCCCTGCTGAGTAAGAGATTAGAGGTGAAAATGCTGAGGAGCCTGAAATTCCCCTCCTCCATGTGGTTCCTCTTCACAGTGAAAAGAAGGTGGAGGGAGTGGGAGGAGAAAGAGACAGAAACAGCTGGCAGAGGATACAGGAGCTGCTGGGAACAGCGACAGCTTGAGGTGAGTCTGAATACTCTTTTCACATGCTTTAAAGCTCCTGGACTGGATGGCCTCCATCCCCCTAGCCTTTGCAGAGAACTCAACTCCAACACAGAGCAAACATTTAAACAGCTCTGTAGTGACAGGGATGGTAGAGGACAGCTCTGTAGAGAGGGATGCTGCAGGCCAGGACTGCCTGTAACTTCCAATAGGTGCTATCACCTTCTCTTCCAGCAACTCCTCCAGCTCTCTGACATGGTCCTTCCTGCTCACTGCACCCAGGCAGGGATCTCACACAACTCACTCACCAAGCCGTAGAGGGCCGCTCCAATCCCTATTAGCGGGCTCACTGCAATGATAACCAAAGTCAGTTTCCAGCCACTGACAAATCCCAGCAGGAATCCACTCACAAAGGTAGTAAAGCGCTGGATAAAAACTGCTACTTGATCAGCAATAGCCTCGTTAATTTTGTTAATGTCACTAGAAAACAAGAATAAAAAAAAAAAAAAGATAAAAGATCATGAAGCATTTTTGTTACAAGGTTAGGGCACATTTAACTTGTGTGCTTTCTCCAGGAGAGGCCCTGGAACCTTCCTCTCCCCTATTCTTACCTTCCTCACTTCTTCTACAGACCCTAGGCTACAGTGAGGACATCTGGAGCTTTTGCAGTGGCAGGAAGTGTTTATGTATGAATACTTCAGAAAACATATGGCTTCTCCTCAGAAAAGTTATCCTGCCAGCTATCTCCTCCACTACCTGGTTCTTTACTACTGGGCCCGTGTTGATTCCAAAGAGGAAGCAGGGACATCACAGCTAGAAGATAATGGGAAAACAGCACAGCTGATATGGCATTCCTCCCATCATACAGCACTAACTATGTAACATAAAGCTTTGCTGAGTGGCGAGGGAGAGGGAAGAGGTCTGTAACCCTCTTCGCAGTTTCACTTTCCAAAACCTAGTTCCCCTCTAACTTTTCAGATAGTTTATTTTCTAAATGAGAGATGAACAGGATATAGTGGAGGGCTATGTTACTGCTGCAAGCTCTGGAAAAACATCAAGGCAGCTCTGACATCTGAGGCATGGTGGGGCAAGGGTTAACATTCTTGGCTCCTAATGCATCCAGAGAGTTGGTGGGGGAGTTTTCTGCTCTTGTTCAATGCAAACAGAGGAAAAAAAAAAACTCAAAGCAAAACAGTCATTACTATTTTTGCTGTTCTTAGCTTCAGCCCTGAGATAAGTAAAATTAGGAATTCCCAGACTACATAGGATCAAGTGGCTCTGAGATTTAAAGTGCAAGTTTGTTAGCTCGTCGGTATATTAAAGCATATATTAATATATATTGATATATTAAACCAAAAGTCTATTGAAAATATAAGTGATATGTGTTGAATAAAAACATGCTTATATTTCTTCTTGAGAACATTTTTTGCAGTCAAGATCAAGAAACTGAACATTATTTATTCAAAAAATACAAAGTCAATTCTTTATTTTTACAAAAGAAATTCATCATAGATGCATAAACTCAGGATTTATTCTTCATAAGCAGAACACAAGTCATAGATTACACTGAACAGTGAGTAGAAAGTCCTGTCAGCCTCCGAAAAATATTTTGCCTAGTGTCATGAAAGGACCACAGAGAACAGGGAGCCATCTAGAGTCAGCATATTCATCACACATTCAATCTATAAACAGGAGCCATTAAGAAAAGGAGCAAGTCTTAAACTCCTAGGTTTTTCTAAGGGCTGAATCTCTACGCAGGACAAGAAAGTTTCTCCACCTACCTTGGGTCTTTTGCTAAAGGTAGGTGCTTCTCTTTTGCAGAACTTTAAGCAAGGCTCACTCTTTCCTTATAAACAACAAGTGAAAGAAAGTGTGCCCCTAATGATTTTCCTTTCCAGGAAGTGAGAGGGGGTTCAAACTACATCTCCAACCTCGGAGGAGTATCCACTGGCAGCAAGGTTATAGATCATTCTTGAGGGACTGGACTCAGGAGGAAAAAGGAAGGACAGGTGGCAAAGGTGGCAAAGAAAAAAAAGAAAAAAAGGAAAAAGATAAAAAATCATTGCAACAGAAAAGGCATCTAAGGGGAAAATTATGGAATCATGGAGGATGGGGGAAATCATAAGCCTGATCCTTGCACCAAGAAATGCCTGTGTTTTATATTAAACTATTTGGCTACTTACTGACACTTGGTATTTGGACTGCTTAGCTATTCAGAGCACCTAAGGAAGTGCAAAAATGTAGCATGTGTGTTTCCTAGATTACTTACTCAGAAATACGAGTGTTCAGTTCTCCTACAGATGTGCAGTCAAACCAGCCTATGTCCATTCTCATCACTTTCCTGAAATAAGCTTTCCTGATTTTCTGTATCTGACGAGCTGCAGCCATAACCCAAAAACTGATCTGGAATGAGAATAATGTGGCTGATGAATTGCAGTAAAATGTTTCTGCTCCTCTAAACAGGAAAAACAGTTTGGCTATTGATAACAACTACCAGTCAGATGAAATATATTCTAGCTACATAGATATGACAGTTTTTTTCTGCCCTTGATCTTTAAATAATCCTGCAACTTTTTTCAGCTTCTGAACAAGCACTTGTCTCAGTTGTGACAGGCTGAGAACAGAAACAGATAAATTCCTTGTGGAGTTACACGAATGTTGTAGACAAGAAAAAAAAAAATAATTACAGCAATAAATAAGGATGGCTGCCATCCTACCTCAGCAGAACTCTGAGATATTTTTTAGGAAGGAGAATGAGAAGTGAATTTTGTGAACATAAAAGGCTCAAGAACAGTGATCTCTTTAGCAGATTCTGCAGAAATCATCTATGCTTGTGGCTCATCTGAGGCATAAGGTTTGAACCATTACTAGAGCACATGTAAGGTGTGCTTCTTCTCCAGCACTATCTTCAGCAGCAATACTCCATATCATCTCTATAATAGAAACAGAGCTCTACTCAGTTGCCCAAATACAGGTTTATGGCATCGTTTAACAGGCCGATTGGAATACGCTCATTCTTTTGGGATGTCTCAATGTCCTAGGCCAACCTAAGTGGCACTAGATGCTTGTATGCAGGAGATGGAACGAAGCCCAAAATGTAAATACTACATTTAATGGTACAATACAAGGATGACTCATTTTCACGGCTAGTGGGCAGGATACTTAGGCAACAGGTTGTGTCAGCCACTTTCCTTATCTAACCACATTCAAGCAAACATTTCTTATGATGTGAAAGGAGCAGCATGCATTCATCTCATGGGGTAAAATGTATCCATGTAAAAAGATAAGCACTAATACAAGTAGGTCTCTGATTGCAGACTCAGCCCACAGGATTAGGAATTAAATTATCTGCTCAGCACAAATGTTGAAGTTGACTAAGCAGTTAAAGAGAACACAATTATTACAGACTTAATCATTTAGTGAGACAAATTTTGATATCAAAATATGGAATCAGAGGAAATCAAAATACTGACTTGGAGGTATCCTAACACGAGTACTGCACAACCAATTCCCGCATAGTAAGCTGCAAAATTGGTCATTTCTTGTTCAATGTCCAGCAGCCTGAAAAACAAGACAGTGATCAATACTGCTTTAATTTTCTAGAAAACTGGTGTTTCTTCAAGGTTTACATGGAAATTCAATTTTTTTTGCTGACAGATGGACGGTTTCTTAACACCATCAGCCTATTCCTAGCAATAGCTATCCCTATTGCAGAGGTAATGGAATTGGGAGGTACCAGTAAATTCTCTTCTGTCCTGCTGAGGTCCTGTAGTCTGTGAAGAGCAGATGAGAGATGCCACCAGGCTGCACTGGTTATTGGTTACTCTTCTAGACTTTCGTGTGCCATAGAGAGCAAGTACCAGTCTGTTTGACCAGAACTTGCTACACTGGGAGATTTTTAGCCAAAAGGGAACACTATAATCATGTATCTTAAACAGAGGTGCCTATGTTTATAGATATCTAGTGTCATTTTTGATGCTCTGATGTATTCTGCATGATCTCCAGCAGCTGCTACAGAATAGAGGTCTCTGAGAAATCAGGTACCTGATCAGCTTGGAAAGCCTGGGGAAAACAATTTGACCTTATATTCCCACATTTAGGAATCTGAATCACTTCCCATAGGCTTGGAATGTCAGAGACCGCTAATCAATTATCTAATTTAGTATCATTCAGAGATTAGAAAACTCTCGGAATGATACATTAAACTCACAACCTTAGAAAAAGCTACAGGTTCATATTTGGCTTTGGCATATACCTGTATCTGTAGGTATCATCTTGACTCTATTTTTTATAGTTAATAAAAAGAAACAGGCACTCCTATAGGGCAGTTCATCTGACCTGCCTTAGACACGTAGGCCGAACAAATTGCATCCTAGAAGCACTCATTTCTCTTCAGTGACTAGAAACAGTTTAGTTAACTTGCTCAGAAGTCAGCAGACACTTACAGGTGTCCAAGTAAGACAACCAGAAGTCATTACTATTGAGTGGGACATCAAAGAACATATCAGTGATTCACCAATTTCATATGTGCAGCAGGAATGTCTTTGATGTCTCCAAAACAAGAACCATGCCCCTTTTCTGCTCTACACATAGAAAATGTAAGCTTTAAAGGCTGAATTGAATCTTCCTTAGATATACATTCTCTGACAAGACTTAAAAACAAAAAGAAACAAACACATCTGCTACTTACCCACATCTTATTGACGCATTTCTTTCATTTTGATGAGTAGTACCATTGATCCACATTATGGTGTTATTTACACAGGTCTTGTTGGGGTCTTTAAGCTCTTGCATTTCAATGTCATATTCAATAAATGTGTCTGCCATAGCACCAAACACAAGCAACATGGCTGGCTGGGCTGCTCCATGAAGAACAGCACAGAAGCTGCCCACAGTCATCATTAAGATTTCCATAGATGAAGAAAATCGAAACTAAAGAAATGAAAAAAAATCTCTGTTCAGAAGCAGTCTTCATGCTGTCTGTGTGCCTATGAGTCATTAACCCGGTGAATCAGATATAAAATTATTCTCCTTCAATTTCAGAACTCTCCTCACTACAGATAACAGACAAATCTCTCCCTGCCCTCTAATCTAATTATATCTAAGATTACAGTCTCCTAAGTTATTATAAGCTCCTTTCATGTAGCTGAGAACAGAATCTGAGCAGATGATTGACTGTATCATCATTCTGATAGTCAAATATCACTGCACACTATCATTATTCCAGATGCTGGTTCAAAGACTTAGAATATGGAGTTAAAATGCATGTATGCCCTATTACTCTGAATTATTACTAGAAAGAAGAAAAATCAACTCAGTCAAAATAAAAGCAGGATAAAGAAAGAGTCTTTCTACAAAAAAAGAGAAGTCAGGTGACTGTAATAACCACTACTGTAACATCAGTAATAACCACTCTTTAATATATGATATCTGTGGCATCTGATGCAACCATACTTGGTTTACTAATTGCATCTTCAGAGTTAAGTATAAGCAAAATAGGTTTCTGCTTGAACAGATACTTCTCAAATACAGTCATGAAAGAGAAATTTTGCAATTTCTACAGCTTTAAAGCCCTGTACTTGCTTAGCTCCATGTAAGACAGTCCATAAGGGAAGGAAAGAGCTGTGTTCCAGTACCCCTAAGATAGAAAGCAAGATATTTTCTATTTTGTGTCTGTTAACTCCATTTCTAGCTCTGGGCATATCCAAAGTGGTAAACATGGACAGGCCTCACTCTCTTCAACTAATATAACACTAATGTAAGTGTCATTAACAACTGTGATAGTTTACCAGATAGAACACAAGCCACATGGATGGAACTTCACTGACTCAGTACTACACTGAGGACATAGGAATGTGGACACATTTCAGGCTAATTGCTTAGGCTACATCCAGAGTAAGAAAAACCTCTTCGCTTACCAGCTGCAGGGCTAGACATCTTTCTGCTGTGCTCCCTTTCAAGTATAGAAATACCCTAGGGGCCTCCAAGACCCTTCAGATGCATTATCTAAGGATAGATATTAGATATCACACAGCACTGAGTATGTCAAATAGTCACCAAATCTTAAAATATCCATATAGTAATTATAAGGGAGCCAAATCATCTGCCAAAGATCACACAGCATTTTTTTAGTAGGAATAAAAACGGACCAAGGATGCCTAATCTCCCACTGTGTTTCTAACTCTCTTTCCCTATATCCACAAACAGGTTCAATATAATGCATTTAATAGATTATTATGACACAAATATTGATGATCAATACCCAGCTGACAAAATGACAAAGGGTTCTATTAAATTCCTATTGATTTTAGCAGCAGGATTTCATGCCAAGTGATTTAATCCTTAGAAGTCTGGCTTAGTCAAAGCGATTCCCCACAACAACCGTATAGTGAGCCGTAAGTGAACAATCACTTATTCTGGAGCATAATACACATAAAATATTTATATACATAGCTTTCATTACCAGCTGAAAGAAGCCAACACGAGCACTGTTATTCTTCGTTTTTGATGACCTTCAAGAATAGAAAATGTACAATTATAAACTTGTACTTGATTATGTACGTCTACTGCATGCAATGATACTACACAGAACTGAATTTAACTCACTTTTTGCTTTTCTTCTTTGCAGAAGGTTCTTCATTTCCATTCCTAGCAAAAAGGAGAATTTGTGTGAATTTACATTATTCCTTTTATTTTCTTGGTTTGTTATTTGAAAATACATTTTATTTGAGACATTACATTCAGATTTTTTAAAGAAAGAGAAAAGTTATTTCTTTCAGACTCCTTTGGAGCATTTGATG